CATTAAAGCGTCCCAAAAGTAAAAAGGGAGGTGGCAACTGGTCAACGAAAGCATCAAGGTCCGATTGATCATAAGTCTCCCCAGGAGACAGGTAGAGAGAACAAACAGTGATGGAACAACCCAAGGAAACACGTATGGCTACAGCCTCCAAGGGTGTAACAAGGGACACAGATAAGGAGGGCACATGCTGGTCGACCAGCAGTGCTACCCCTCCGTGTACCCGCCCATCACACAACCTGTCATTCCGGTACAAGGAAAACTGCTGAAGGGTGACTGTATCGGCAGGTTTCAGAAATGTTTCCTGTAAGGAGAGACACGCGGGATGATAGGAGTCAATCAAGGCCTTAATGTCATCGAGATTCGAACGAAAACCTCGACAGTTCCACTGTATCAAAGTGGCCATTTTTATGTATGTTTAGGAGAAGAGGATGGAAAACCCTTCGGTTTACGACTACACCGTTTTTCTTTACTAGATGGAGGTCAATCGACCTCCATGGATCCTGCCCTTGAACGAGCGGGCAGATCTCTGTCATCAGAGTGAGAATCCAATGACTAAGGACGTGATCGAGTAATCGTCCTGCATTTAGGGGTCAAAGAAGGACCCGCACGGACACCAGAGGCTGGTGCCCGAGGAGGTTGACCCCACCCGCCATGGAGTCCTACAAGGAGACACACTACAATGTCAAACAAAGACACTGCAGCAACGCCAGGGTTTCGTGAGCACTATACCCAAACACCAGTATCAGACACGATGTCCACAACACCCGTTGAGAACGCCCAACACTGGTACTCAGTTGACCCTAGCCCCAGTGGACCAGCCGATTGACCCTAGGGGGCCACCCCAAGGCCATCCGTCTACAGGAATTCAAGGCCAAGGTGGTGTGTTGGAGTGCCCCAGACACCACTCAACCACCAGGATCCTCTCCCCCCCTTCACAGGTCGCCACGCACGGCAAACACGTGGGTGGATGTTTAGATCCCAGAGAAAGTAACTGAAAATATAGAACCTTCCTTGGGAGGTCCCCTCACCACATACAGGAATCCATGTCGAGGGGCCAATGAAAATAGAGCTTATTTTAAAGTACAACCTACCAATGGTCAATTTGAAATTGATGGGCAATATTTGTTACCAAGTACAACTAACTTCTGATAGTGGTGAAGCTGTTTTTTCTTTCACAGCATTCACTTTTTTCTTACCTAGATAGATATTAGTTAGATACAGTTGAGTTGTACTTCGGTTTTATTTTTATGTTTTAAAATGCATATTTGAAAAGTTTAATAATTTTTTTAATGTGATCCAAACCTTGCCTCGGTTCACAAGGGTAAAATTACTGCACAAATGCAAAAACACATTTAGCCAAAAACACATACACATATATACATGTATATTACCTGATAGTTCAAAACAGTTTTTTCTAATAAAGTAAAATATCTGCTTAAAATTTTGATTTGTTTTATATCTAAATGATTAACACTATTGTGTTAAAATACAAATCTTAGAAAAACATTTGAAATACTGATATACCATATTGCACATAAAAGCAATTCTAAAGAAGTTTTAAAACTTTTAACAATCCTTTGAACATAATAAACATTGTAACACTGTTTTTCATTATATTATTACCAAGTAAAATATTTTCACAACATGACATTGACTTACACAGCCAATACTCCAAAATAAAGATTCTAATTGAAATAGAAATTATTATGACAAATATACGAAATGTTTTGTGTGATACCACCAACAAATTTGTAATGAGTTTAAACTTGGTAAAATGAAATATGCTTTGGTATTTATTACTTATGTGTACTATATCACATGACAACAAAAAATCCCTTTTACACACTCTACCATGGCTTATTTTTCTCAAATTATCTAAATGTAAAATTTTAGTGTATAGAGTGGGGGGAGAGTGAAAAGCAGTTGTAAGCACCATTAAATTCTCAAGGCCTAACAAGGCAGTCAAAATTCTTAACACCAGATGTAAGTGAAATGTTTAACCCGCAGAAACCAGCAACTTGGGGTTACTTGAAGTTTCTGTTGTTTTCTCAAGAAAGTCCTACCCCATTTTGGGAGTTACACTGTTAATTTATAACTCATGTATTCAGGAGAATTCCTACACATTATTAACCTGTGGTTAAAATGTTAGGACAATCTTACTGCACTATTAACCTATAATAATGAATGAGCAGAAAATAAATTCAATGCATTTTTAACTTAAGAAATTGATATTGAGAACAAGACTATAAACAGCAATGATGTAAATAATTAGGATAGCAGATCATGGTTTCTAACCCCATACCTCTCCCTCATGTTTGAAATTTAATTCTTCCAAAGTCCTCTGGTGTTCTGTTGTCAAATACTCTACTTGTGTCTTCAACATAGTGTGTTCATATCGAAGCTTATTAAACTCTTCTCTGTAGTGATCAGCTTCTTGCTCCAACTCTTGACATCGACCTTTGAAGTTACGTTCAAATTTCTCCTGTACGTGACGTTGTACAACTTCTGGAGCCTGGCTGGCTAACTAGACACAAAAAATTATTATAGATATCTCAACTTCTAATTTTTAGAAACGTTTCTAAAAAGTATACATGTATATATATATATATATATATATATATATATAACTTTATGTAGCAACTTGTGTGTACATAAAAGTGAAGCTGTAATGAGATTATAGGTTTCAGAGGTGTGTTAAGTGGATAATGTTTCCATCTTCCATACCCTTTGCATATTTTAAAACAAAGATACTTCAGAAATATCTTAAATAACTTGAAATAATGAATTATTCATTCGAAGTGAAGTTTTTCATTTGAAAATTCCCCATTTTAGATTTTTTTTCCTTGATATGGATTTCAGGATATTAACATATTACATACACCAACTGGAGATACTGACAGGCCATAATTTAAAACAAGAACTTCCCACCTTCTTTATTTTTGAGATATCAATAAATGTGTTACCCCTACCACGAAAGCTACAATCAACTCTTCATGCTTTTGAAATCACTTATTTACTCATTCTTACCTGTCAATGATACATATTTATAACCAACAGAAAGGTCATTTTACAAACTACACGATTATGGCATGTTAATTTATTTCAGTAAAAGGCATCATTTCCCAAGCAGGTTTTATTTTGTGAAGACCAAAGTTAATGTTTCAATAAATAATGAAATTTTTTAAACCTTTTCATAGGTCATTTAGAAAGTCAGGTAAATTATAACATTTTATAATAACATCCAGATAATTATAAAAAGTTTCTTAAGAAAAAACTGTATCTTTTATCTGTTATTTTCACTAACAAATCTCTGTACAGGTTTGGTCGATTTGACCGATCTCATAATCACCATAAAAAATTAAGAAATAAACATAAATTATGCCTCTTTCATTCTTGAATGAACACAAATTATAACACAAAAACATAAATGTTTAGACTAAATAGCTTTAATCTCATAACATAATATATATATATATATTTATTATTTTTATTATATTGACCTTTCAGCTGTGCCTGGCTAACATTACAGAAGTTACAATGACATGGTGCATGTGCACTCATGTTGCCGTATCTAAGAATATCAAATTGGCCTTTAGGCTTTACAAAGTGACCTGTCTTGGCTGTGTTTTATTGGACTAGTAATTTGTAAAATACAGTTACATTTCAGTTATAATACATTATATATGTATATACATTATTACTTTTTACAAATAAGTTCATAAACTTATTTTTCTTAAACATATAACAATAAATAAAGAAGTATAGCAAACAATTATCTCTTCTAGTTATGAAGTTTGTAATCATTTGCCACTTGCCATAGGTTAAGCCTTATCAAATTTCTCATATAGAGGATATGAAATGAAATATTTTTTTTAGGTTTTTATACATATATATACATACATTTGAAATAACCAAAAAATCATAAACTACAATATCGATACCATAGAATTCCACTACAATTTATCAAGCTTAGTAACCAAGCTGTGTTTGGGTCTAAAAAATATGAAATGTCAAGCAGACTAGACTCACCTTATCAGCTCGAAGTCTTGTATCAAAAGAACGAGTTTGACGTCGTAATACTTGAAAATGGCTAAGAAAGCCACACCTAAAAAGTGCAGTATGTATGTGATAAAATTATATGATGAACCCACACACTCTGTTTAAATGATTTTCTTGACACAAAAATGATAAATATTTATGTCCAATACTACATTAAGATCATTCACCTTGGCTTTTAATTCTTCTATCTGTGCCTGTTTCTGCTGTAAAACATCTTCAGCCTGGCTTAAAGCTGTCTGGCTTTTTTCCTTTTGCTGGTTATAATCCTCAAGAGTTTGTTTCAACTCCAATTGTAAAGACAAAAACTCATCTTGTAGCCTGAGAAACAAGTTTGAACAGCTATAAAATTCACATTTTAAAGTTATATATGTTACATATCAATGATTTTCAAATTTCTCTGTATTGAACATTTTTAGGTGTTAAACTTTGAGATTACTATGTATTTCACATCCTATGTAATTATTTCATACATCAGAAAAATATTAATGGGGTTTTAAGGTCCTTTACAATCATCATAAAATAACGTAAAATAATTTAGGTATTTGAATAATGTTAGAGTTCATGCTTAAATCATTATTTCACATCATAAATTGGACCAAGTATTTAACATAGTGTGATTTATAAATCGTACGGTGAGATTATTACTTAAACAGTTCAAAGGGCAATAAAACAATAAAATCAAGTACATACTGTTACGAGCTTTAAGCTACTTATGATAAACAATTTAGTTTCCTGTTACAATCTGCAGTCATTCTAGAATTATTTGTTTGTTTTGGAATTTTGCGCAAAGCTACACGAGGGCTATCTGCGCTAGCCGTCCCTAATTTAGCAGT